TGATTTTCCATAAAAGTTATACGTTATAAAACTTAATATTTTTATGGAATTTTTATATCAAATTTTTTATTGGATAGCTATATGTCCCAACCTGTCTCACACTATGTCCCAAATGTCCTATCTGTCTTATCTATGTCCCATCAGTGTCCCATCAATGTCCCATGACAACACTGGGTATAGGATAAACTGTCAAAACTACCATACATAGCTATACATTTATCAGATTTGAATTTCAGTTAATACTTTTAATCTACGATGGATAATAATGTAGCTATAAATAAAGCAATTTCAGCTGCGTGGTCAGGTATAAAATCTTGGGCATTTTTAGGACCTCCTGGAATGTTAATTGGAGATTTCATTGAAGGATTAATAAGTTATTACGTTTCAAAGATGAAATTGCAGTTTTAAATGCAAAATTTAATGATTATGACAAAAAGATATATAATGCTAACTAGTAGAACAATGTAAATATAGATTGCAATGTGTTAACTGCTGCCGTGAATGCTATTGAAGAGGGATTTATTTGGTATAATCATACTAGGATAGTTAAATTGGAAAAGGAGTTACAAAATAGGCATAATTACGGAATTAATATAGAAGAAAATAGCAAAGAATTTCATTTCGCTATGGCAGATCTAAAGAAAAATCTAGAGAAATTTAAAGAAATGGTGATTTTTCTTGAAGAAGAAAATAAGAGATTAAAAGATATTTTTAAAGAAAAAGAGCAAATATTATCAACCATTAACCTTTCAGTAAATGAGGTAATGATCATTAAATTGATCTTAATGATTTATCAGATCATAAACAAACTCATTCGATTCTCCATTAGATCAACGACGAATGGAATGAATGGAATAAATATGAATAACAAAACGGCTATGTATTACCGTCCACTGGCCTCTTCTTTTTTTCAATATATTCATATTACTAATTAATATTTGAATTTTTTAACTCGTGTGCACATTATATAATGAATCGAAGATTATTGATAAATACAGGCAAAGTAAAAATTTGAACAATAAAATCATTTTGATTTGAAAAAAAGTTATTGAAATCGGTGAAATTCTTATCGAAATCAATTTTGTGTGACATATACCACATACATTATTTTATCTTACAAGAAAGAACATGATATATAATTATTTTCAGTACGAACGTATTGGTTCACACCAATACTAATAACATAAAAAACGAATTTCATGCATTTTTCTATTATTTCAAATCAAATCTGATAGGTCTAATAACATTATCTATAATACGTGACTGGATCATACTGGTTGTTAAAGAGTCCAAGTTTATTCTTGCATATCCCTTCATCTGTAGACTTTTACATGCTACTATGTTTACGCAGGTTACATAGCGATTTTGCATACAATTACACAATTATCACCCAATTTTAATATTCTTATTTAATATATTTATAACAAAAAAGCAATATGCATACAATTGTGCAATAGTCACATATTAGTATTAAGAATGCAATTTCTTTAATTTTTTACCTTAAAGATTTTAAACTTTTAAAATATAAGAAAAAATAAAAACCACAGCTTTAGAATATGTAAATTCCAATAATTATAAAGATGACTTTTATGAATCAAATGATAGAATGTTTTGCATTACTTTGTAAACATATTGTTAATCATTTTAAAAAGTTTACAATTAATCACATAAACGAAAAAAAATCTGGCCAAAATTAGTAAAAAAATATGATATTAATTTAGTTTTAACTAAAACTTTTGTGGAAGCCGATATTCCACTTGAAAAAATAAACAAGTGCTAAGTTTTTTAAGGGGAATATTATGTAGAAGGTAATTTATAAATAATGTTGTTTTTTAATTTATATAATATTGATAATAACATATTTTAATTTATACACCTAATCCTAAACCAATGCATTTTTAAGCAAAAAATTCAAAATGTTGATATTTTATCATGTGATTGATAATCTTACAATATTATTGGGGGAATCTTAACCTACACTGGGATTTAGGCATCTTATCCTAGATCCCTAATTTCATATGATCATAATTACCTTATTTTGTTATGTTACATCTAATATAATAATATTATTGCATCACGTCGTGTGCATAACTGTCACGTCCTTTCTTTTTTATACTTTGCAATTTCAGTACTTTGAAATGACTAAAAATACTGAAGAAACTTATGAAATTAATTCAGAATTTTCTGAATTTTCTGAAAATACTTTTAATAATAAAAATCCCAATATAAAAATTAACGAAAGTGATACTTACCACTTTGAAGAAGCTTTTATTTTAGCAATTAAAAGAATATGTAAAACAGGAAGACTTTCAAACCCATTTAAAAAAAAGTTGAAAAGAATGCCAAAGGTTAAATACGTAAAAGAATTTTAGTTTGTATCAAAAAAGGCTCTTCTAATAAAGGCATAAGTTCAAATAAATGAAAGTAAACTTCACAATGTTGTAATTGTCAATTGACAATTCATGCATCTCTTAATTCTAATAATAGATTTTGATATATAATTTATATACATTTAGAGCATAATCATTCATTAGTTTCAGAACATCACTGTTATTTATATCTAAAGAATAAATAATATCTATTGAAATTCAAGAAAAAATTCTTTTTCTTCGCTATACTGGATATAAAGTTCCTATTATTCATGTAATATTAAAGGAAGAATTTTTAGATACTGTAACCTGGATTTACAATGATTTGTATAACTTTATTTATCAAAAAAAGGAAATATTAAAGGAAAGAGAGTTTGATATCAATGATTTTATAAAGAAATTAGAATATCTCAAATCTCAAGATAAAGAATTTTGTTATAAAATTCTAATAAATGCTAAAACAAATAAACTTTAATAAGCAATTTGGATATTTCATAAGTAAAAGATCAATTATTACTAATTTTATGATGTAGTTATCTTTGATAATACTTACAAGATTAATAAATTTAAAATGCTTTTTGGCATATTTACTGATATTAATAATTATAACCAAAGTATATGTTTTTCTAGTACAATTATATGTGATGAAAATGCAAAGAACTTTATTTAGATTTTTATTAGATTTCTTTTATCAAAAACTTCCTAACAGATGAAAATTATGCAAAATTAAAGCAGTGGATCTTATTTTTGTATTACTAGAAATAAAATATACTTTATGTTTATGGTATCTTATGAAAAATGTAATAAAAATCTTAAATGAAATATTAAAAATGAAATGGGTAAAATTTATAAATTTTTTTATCAATATCTTGATGAATATAGCAAGAATAAATTTTTGGAAAAATGGAATTAATTAAAAATAAATTATTCTTTAGCTATTAAATATTTAAACAAAATAA